AATCGTGAACTTTTCGGATATTTGAGTAAAAATAGTGAATCATATTTGGACTGTAGGTACTCTCCATCTGTGTGAAGAAAAGCCAATTATGCTTCTCAATGTAATCAACGAGCTTTTTCCCCAAACTTTCTTTGAGCTTCTTCAAGTTCACATTCCGTTCCGACTTAATCGGACCATCTTTATACACCTTAGTGTATATCTTCCATGCATGAGGACCTCTATCAAGAAAAGCAACATAAGAAAAATCATTAGAATCATCATGATGAGAATCATTATCACTTAAAGCAGAATTTTCAGTCATAGAAACTTTCATTGCTTTTCTTATATTCCTATCCTTTTGTTCTTTCCTAGGACTAGGACAAACATTAGATGTGTGACTTTGCCACCACAATTCCAGCAAGTGAATTCAGTTTCTTTAGATTCTTCTACTTCTTTTCATTAAACCTAAATTTTGATGTCTTGTCAAAATTTTGAGGATTAGCCATGTTCATATTCCTTCTCCTCTGTTGTCTTTGTAAGATCAGATTAAATTGCCTTGACAGAAAAAGCAAAATCATCATCAGAGTTATCATCCATAGAATTCTCAACCTGTGCTGATTTTAAAGTAAGATTCTTCTCATTCCTTCTGATTTAAATCAAAGTCCTACATATCAAAAGCTTTCAATGAACCTACCATCTCATCAACTTTACAGGTAATTAAATCACAATGTTTAGTGATGGTTTCAACTCTAATCTGGAATCTTTTTGGTAAAGACCTTAAGATTTTCTTATAGATTTTCTCATCACTAACTTTTTTACCTAAGTAATGCAATTCAGAAATTATTTCAAGAAGACTAGAATAAAAATCAGAAAATGATTTATCTTCTTTAATCACGATGTTTCCAAAGTTATAAGAAAGCATCTAAATTTTGGATAACTTCACTTTTGAAGTTTCTTCATGAGTAACCTGCAAAATATCCCAAGCTTCTTTAGCAGTTTTACAACAAAAAATTCTAGCATATTGAGATGGAACAACATAACTAATAATTACATTTAAAGCTTTACCATTAGCATCATTACGCTCAGTTTCAATAGCAGCAAAAGTAAAAGCATCTTTTAACTTTTTGACTTCTTTACCATCCACAGTTTTATCTACTGTTGGTGGTATATAGCCAGATTTAACTATTGCCAAAGTTTTACCACCAGAATACTACCAGAATTTTACAAATAGGCTCTCATCTTTGATTTCCAAAAATTATAATTATCTCCTTCAAACAAAGGACCACGTTGATTATAACCGCCTTCTTTCAACGCATAAGACATGATTAAAAACCTATTTTTGTAATCAAAACAAGACTTCCCAACAAGGATCAACTCAATGGGTAGAGATTGGTTCTAATACCAATTTGTGAATTGTACGTAGCAGAATATTTATAAAGTTTTGATTATTTGAAAACAGATCTATATCTTTTGCCAACTTTACTTATTTTAATAATTAAACAATTAATCATATGCAAATAAAATAAGTCAAAATATAAAGTTAGAAATGACACCAGGATGGGAAAACCTCGTGGACTGTGCAGTCCAAAGTAAACTGATCCACTATATTTGAAACAAAGTACATTAAACTTTGACTCTGGCTCACACCCTATCATTCTACCAATCACCAACTGCTGACAATCCTCTGGCTTTGCGACTCCCCGTCCAACAGCAACTTAACCTCAGGTTTATGCTTGATATTTGTAGAAGAGTAGCAGATAGATTATACAACACTCCACGAATGCTCTACCCCTTTCAAAGTGTGATCGTTTTTACTTCTGTTCTTCAATTGTCTGAATTCGATGTAGAAGTAGATCTACTTTTGTTTGATCGGTGTAAATCCAACTGTATGCTCACGATCAGGATTTGAACACCACAACTCTAAACTCACTATATGTTTATGTGTATGTGTTCTAGAAAGATGAACAGAAAATTCTATAAAAATTTCTGAAATAAAAATCTTCCCAAGGCTTTTAAGAATAATAATTTGTTAGTGCAAAAGCCATCCCTAAACCTATATGTATGACATGGTTTATATAGAGGTTTGTAAAGTCCTATTCCTTCTGAAAATAAAGGAAATTTCGTGCATAGGACTTGAAATGAAAGTTGGATAAAAAAGGAATCAAACAGAATAAGGAAACTGAAAACCTTTTGCTATCAGGACTTCTAGAACCGGTTCCCAAAAGACAGAATGAAGTTCTTCAAATCTTAGCTTTTAGAACCGATTCTCAAATTCAGGTACCGGTATCCCACTTGACAGAATTCAATTTGAACTTGGATTTTATGTTTTTGGAACTTCGAGAAAATATACCATATAGGTATTTGTGTCCTAAGTGGGAAACGATGTCCTAATATGTTGTTCTTTCCTTTTCGATGATCAACAGTACTTTCCTCTTCTGAACAACCTTCAAATTCTGCAGTCGATGTTGATGTTGATATGGTAACTGAAATTACAACTCGACTAGGACTTGTTTTGTTACTGAAATATGCCAATTACAAAAATATATCTCACAATATATATATATATATATATATATTAAAACCGTAAAACTAAATTGAACCGAACTTAATCGATCATTTATGGTTCAGTTGGATTTTAATATTTCTGAAACTATTGAGATCAATTTGATTATAATTCATCACTTAATCAGACCAAATTGAACGATATGCACCCCTAATTTATGGTTTAATTTAATGCAGTAACTTCGTGTAATTTGCTTGCACGGATAACAAACACACATACCTCTATCATATATCAAAAGACTTTTTGTTTAGGGTTCATAAATTTCATAATATGCCTAAAATGTAGAACTTTTGATGTCAATAGCTAAAAAAATTATCTTGGTTTATAACACCACCTATGATGGCAATATTTTCCAGCAATACAATTCATCTCTCATTCTTTCTCTTTCTCGTGAATCAGAACAATGTTTCTTCTTCTGTATCACTACGAAATAAATGTTTATAGTTTTATTTTTTATTTTATATATATATTTATTATTACTCACCTAAAAGTAATTGAGTTTCTACAAAGTCACATCTTTTTTTAATATGATTTTTTCTTTTTATATTTTTATATATTTTAAATTTTTTTAATTAATTTCAAAAGATGTGACTTATTATATAAAAAAATTGAGTTTTCAAAAGTTATATCTTTTCTTAATATATACAATTGAGTATAATTTTTATTTTCTATATACATTTTTAGATTATTTTATTGATTAATTTCAAAACACATGGCTCGTCCCGTAATTCATTAAAATCTTCTATGTAACAAGACAAATTAAAAAAAAAAAAAAAAATCACTTTCTTTTTGCAACCGGTGAAGCCTTTACCCTTTGACATAAAAACTTATTGTTGGGTAGTATTGCATATCACCATTATAAGCACACGACATCCAGATCTGATGTGGGATAAGAACTTCTAACATTATCTCCAACTCAAACTCGCAACACCTGTTATGCGACTTGGACCTGGATGCCTCTCCTCATGAGCGGGCACTGGCATGAAAAATTCAGTTATAATACTACTTGTAACAAGCCGAACACTTTTATAGGGGTAGAGCCAAGGGTGGGCTAGCAAGGGCCATGCCCCCAAACTTTCTTAAAAACTTCATTTATACCCCTAAATATTAATTACTTTGTATATATTATTCCTAAAATTAATTAAAAACTTCAATTGGCCCACCTTTTTTTTTTTTATAATCTTCAAAGAGTTGTCCATACTGCATAACTCGAGTCTTCTAATATTGCATGTTCCCCTGTCCTTGATCGCTTGCCACTCATACCAAGTTGATGATCTTTCTATAGATGTAGAAGAAGAGGAAGTGTAGGGGGAAATCCAATCAATCGTGAATCTTATATGCCATTGATTTTGTTGATGACCGATTGTAGATCTCAAAATCAGTCAAGTTGAGCACTTCCATTTGGCTTCAATCGGCCAAAATAAGAAAAATGGAGAGACAACGATGAGGAAGAGAAAGGGGGTTTACGAGTCTAGCGAACCAGGTTAGGGCACCAATTTTGTGATAAAATTAGGGATGGGAGAGGACAGTGAGAAAGAGGAAGAGAATAGGAGTCTGGCCACATAAATTTTCCATGTAGTTTAGGTCGGTTGTAAATCGAGTCATAAATTGTCGTAAAAAAATATCATTATCATTCTACTATCATAATAACAATTCAAATATATCTTGCGGCACAAACAAGAAAAAGTAGATCCTTTCCTTCCTCAGTTTGCAAGCAACTTGTACTGATAACATATTATAAATATAAAAACAATAGAAAAAATATACAAGTTAAAGTTTTAAGAAGAGAGAAACCGAGCTTCTTTTATTTACTTTATGATTTTAATACAAATTGCATACACACCATTATCATCATATAGCCACAGCAAAGTTTTCATTTAGCATAATACAAAAAAATTTATGGTGTTCCACTTTCTAAATTAAAAAATAATCCTAAGGTGAAAAGGACCAATAGTTTGGCTGACATAAATAATTGGTGGACAGTGTGCCTTCGGCCCTTATAAATGAATGAATATATAATGAGCGACAAGACCAGAAGACTATAAGAAAAACTATGACGATGCTGGTCCACTCTCTCTGGCTATGCCTTCTGCTATGTCAGACTCGTTTATATATATATATTATAATACATATATTATATTATTAATTTTTAACATATCTATGTCTTATTTTCTTGATATTTGTCATATCTTTGTTATTCATATTTCGTAAGTTATTTCAAACAATTCTGTTGACCAAATTAATTTTTCACAAATTTAAGTTTTAGGTAAAAAAAAAAAAAAAAAAAAAAAACCTCTCAAGATAAGTTGGAGTGCCGCTAAAAAACAAGAGAATAAAATAATATCAAATATATCAAATCATATAAAGTAAAAATACAAAAAAAAAACAAAAAAAAAAAAAAAAATTATAGTGCGTGTACACTCTCTAGATTAAAGATTCCCCAAATCCAAAAGGTGAAAGGACCAATGCTTTGGCTGACAAAAATAAATTGGTGGACACAGGGCCTTTGCTCTTAAGCTGAAGCTGTGACAATGCTGGGCCTCTCTTTCTGGCTATGCCTACTGCTAAACTTAGTGGTGCTTGTTTTCAGTGCTGAGAATTTTACCAGAGATGACTTCCCACCACCATCACTGTTCGTTTTTGGTGCAGGAACATCGGCCTTTCAGGTAATTTCAATTTCTTAAGTTTGCATGCTTATTTTTGTCTTTCTTTTCATCTATATATATATATATATATATATATATATAATATTTATATCTATAAAGAGCTAGTCCAGTGATTGTTTTTGGTTTTGAAACCATCACCCATAAATCATAATTGAACAATTTTATCTTTTCCCCCAAGTCTGACACACACACACACACACACACACATATATATATATATATATATTTTTTTTTCGGTAATTAAACATATATAGATATATATATATATATATATATATATATAATGCATATTTGGAATTTTTTATAGATAGTAAGTTGAAAAAAAATGATGGTATACAAGAAATATGTTGAACTTTGTTATGTATATGTGTGTATATATATACAAAGTATGAAGGTGCTGAATCAGAAGATGGAAGAACTCCTAGCATTTGGGACAACTATACTGATCCTGTTGGTATCTTTTCTTCTTTACCTCTTTGTAACCCTTTTTCTTTTTTTTTTTTTTCTTTTTTTTTTTTTATGTAATTTTCTAAATTAGCGTTAAACTTTTGTTAAATCAGTACATTTGTACTGCAACTACTTTGTATTGAGGCTCATTGATATGTGAGTCCCAAAGTTAGTAAAAAATGCAGAGTTTTTTTATTTTTTTGAAAATTTTAAAAAATAAAAAATAATGCAGAGTTGCTATATTGTTTGGTACAATTTTATTAACTATGTTGGGTCCAAATTAATCAATTTTCAGGGAATAAGCAAGGAGAGAATGGGAAAAAGACATGCAATGGGTACCACAAGTACAAGGTGTATACTTCATTTCTTTCTTTCTTTCTTTTTTTCCCTCCAAGGTTAAATATATAATCCTTTTCAGCAGCAGTGTTGAAGAATATTATGAATTTATGATATATTTAATTACATCAAAGAGTTCAGAATTTATTGAGAAGTAATAAAAGTCATTTTTCACTCGCATTAACATAAAACCAACTAGTTAAGAGTCCGACTCATGTTTTAATAAAAGTTAGTGTGTTAATGTATTGCAAAACATTTTTACTTTTGAAAATATATAATTTTCAGTTTCCACTTGATTGTGAATTCTTTAAAAGATTGTCCCCTTGAATAGAATTTCTATGACATGCTCAGGATGTGGGAGAACTATACCAAGTTCATTTCTACAACATCGCATGGAGTTGTAATGGTGGTCGTAAAATTCAATATCTTCCAAGTTCTGTGTCTTATCGGCAACATCCAAATAGAATTAGCAGAAAATCACCAGATCTTATAGATGTTCAATTTCACTTTTTGTTCAGTCTTGACTTAATGCACTGTTTTTTTTATATATGACTCTTTCCTTTTTCCTTTTCTGCATATTGTCACACATTCTGCATCTCTTGCAACCTTTCCTGTGCATATGATCACACGACTTCGAATCTGCTGTTAGAGATATAATTTATAGTCAATGTACATGCAGTAATGTACTTTTTTTTTTTTTTTTTTTTCGTTAAAGATGTACATGTCATCTTTCTGCTTCCATTTATCTCTTGCAGGAGGATGTCCAACTCATGGCGGATACAGGTTTGGAGGCCTATAGATTTTCCATCTCATGGTCAAGACTTATCCCTAGTATGATCACCAAACTCATGTCTCAATTAACTGAACAAATATAAAGCAAAGCAATTTTTTTTGGTTCTTTTTCTCACCCTTGTGCTCACCTTCTTTGTCAGATGGAAGAGGACCTGTCAATCCAAAGGGTTTAGTATATTACAACAACCTCATCAATGAACTTACTAGCCATGGTTACAGCCAATTCACATCAATCATAAATCTCACTATTACTTTTTGGTTATCATTTTTGACAAATGTTCTAGAATTTGGGAGAAAATATTAACCCCCCATAAGACCAACTCACCATTATTAATTGACATCTTTATTCTTGTGACAGGAATACAATTACATGTTACATTATCACACTCCGATCTACCACAGGTTCTTGAGGACGAATATGGAGGCTATCTGAGCCGAAAAATTGTGTATGATCCTCAGTTCTCGTATTACTTTAAGTTCATTCAAATATTATACTTCAACACAGGACAACATACACAATTCTATATGTGTGCAGTAAAGACTTCACAAAGTATGCTGATGTCTGCTTTAGAGAATTCGGAGATAGGGTTTTGCATTGGACTACCTTCAACGAGGCCAATATTTTTGTCATTGCTGGTTATGATCTGGGAATGACACCTCCCTCGCATTGCTCTCCCCCATTCGGGTTCAACTGTGCTACAGGTAATTCCTCAACTGAGCCATATGTTGCTGCTCACAATATTATGCTGGCACACGCATCCGCTGCAAGATTGTACAAGAAGAAGTACCAGGTATTCTATGAGCTTTGCATATAAATTCTTCGATGAACTAATGAGTCTACTGTGCTTGACTACATGAATTTCAATCTAAATCCGGCAACAATATTTAACTTGCTAAAGCCATATTTCCGGATTTAGATAAAATTGGATTTATATCTACTTACTAATTCAGTATATAAATCTTTTTTGACATTATTTTTTTCTTTTAATCCCGGAAATATCAAAATCCATTCTGACAAAAAGAAATGTCACAGAAATGTATATGATTATTAGAGCAACATGTCATGATGCAGGACAGGCAACATGGATTCATAGGAATAACCATATTTACTTTTGGTTTTTTTCCTTATACAAATGCAACAGAAGATGTGATTGCAACTCAGAGAGCCAAAGATTTTTTTATTGGATGGTGAGTCATAAACCATAAATAAAGATACAATGATGTCTATATCTCTTTAATTATCATATATATCAATGAATAATGGAACCGAAAACAAATATTTGACTTGGGCTTAATTGAGGGATATTTTTGTTTGTGAAAGCCAACCTTGGGTTCTTGATTCTGTTGGATTCTTATTTCAGGTTTCTTGATCCCTTGGTATTTGGTGACTATCCTGACATAGTAAAGAAAAATGTGGGTAAAAGATTACCAGCCTTTACCAAATTTGAATCCGAACAAGTCAAGAACTCATTTGACTTCATAGGATTGAATCACTACACCACAGTATACATCAAGGACAACCCCAGCAGCCTGAAGAGGGATATTAGGGACTTCAATGCAGATATTGCTGCAGAATTAATGAGTAAGTACTCAATATACTCTCAGCTGGACTCAACTTTATTAGACTAATGGTTATTGGTCATTTAGTGCAGATGAAATGAGAGTTTGAGCCCAGTTAGGGGCAATATTGTGGGTGTGTGCATTTGCTTGAACTTTCGGAAAAGAAAAGAAAAAAATTAGACTTTACACCCGATGTTTCAGTTTACCTTCATCTGAGTGTTTATATCTTGGGTCCATTGAAAATAGTGTTCTTGTTGAATAACTTGGCTTGTTGGATTTATGTTTTCTTAAACTCGGATGAGCCAACACTGAGATAAATCAATCAAGGAAAAGTAATCGACTGAATAGAATGAGAGAAAATAGGAAAAGATGAAATCATGTGAACCCCAATATCATTGCTTATTTAGTCAGCTTACCATTGCTCATCAATCACTTTTCTGACCGATAAAATAGATTTAATGGAATTGACTGATTTTTTCTGTTTTTGTAGTTAATGGAGATGCTACAATGCCAGATGAGGTGAGGACTGAAACAAAATTTTATGGAGTTGGTTATTTACATTTCAGAGTTTATAAACTTCATTCTTAATCGGTTTATTTAATGCAGTACTCTGTTCTGCCCTATGGCCTGGTTGAAATTCTAGAGTATTTCAAGCAATATTACGGCAACCCTCCTATTTACATCCATGAAAATGGTCTCTCTTTCTATCTCTCTCTCTATATATATATATTATGTATATATCTCCAGGTTGTTGTCTAATTCGAAGTAGTACTAGGCAGTCTTCAAATGAGGTGGAGGGCTTATTTTTCATCTATTGTGATGATAATTTGAAGAATTGGGTTATCCATTCTAGTGCTAACTAAAGAATCACTTATGAAAGATAAAAATGATTCTTTTTTGTGCGTCTCACTTTCATTTTTCAGTATTTCTCGTTACATTGTAAAATGCAGGTGTTTTTTACATTGAAAGGAAAAAAAAAATTAGTGTTGAAACCTACTATGACAATCATGCATGAAGAAGAGTGTTTGGGCCAATGTATCTGGTTATTGCATGTAGCATCCAATGTATCTGGTTAAGCAACCTTTAGTCGAGCTATTTTCTTTCTCTCTGTTGTGATAATCTTAGTGTTGAAACTCTTATGAATTGTTTGACAGGCCAACAAACACTGCATAGCGTAGCATTAAACGATACATCAAGGATCAACTTTATACAAGGTTTCATTGGGGGTTTGCTTGATGCTGTAAGGTATGTCCACTTGACACCAAGTTGGATCTCGTTCTGTTTTCGGCTTGAGGTTGTGGAAGCTCAACTTTCTGAGTGAAAATCCTTCAATAACAATATATAATATTCATTGTTGCGGTTGGCATCATCGTAACAGATGGCAGCCATTATCACAATTGATGGCTAAATTGCAGCAGCTTTATTCCATGCAAATAATGGAATTGATCCTACAAAAGTAGTTATCCACTTCCAAGGAAGCTTCAGATGCACTCTCATTAAAGTTTGCTTTACTTGTCCATCCTCCTCCAAAAAACTTGCATCCCATAAGAAAAGAAAGTATAGTGTTAACCCTTTTAGGCAAGTAGGGGAGGGGAAAAAAAAATAAAAGAAAAGAAAAGAAAAGGAACAGACTGTTCCTCTCATCTGTTTTTTATATCCATGGGATGGAAAAGACAGGGATTTAATTTTGGAAAATAGGGACAAAGGATAATCATTTACTATTTTTCCTTAATAATGTCCTCCTTTTCCTTCTCTTTCTTTTCCTTTCTCATTTTTAAACCAAACATGACATGACCTTAACCTCCTTTTCCTTTCATTTGTTCTCCTTCCAACTCCCTCTTCAAATATAATGCTAGTTTCCTAAAATGTTAAACAAAGGTGAACCTAAAGGCTAAATGCTTATGCTTTTTTAATCATCACCTTCTTCATAAGTGTCCTGTTGACTAGAATTTGATCCAAATGTCTTTAGGAGGTCCACAGTTCATATGATCATTTTTTTTTTTTTGTGAAAATTAGTTCATATGATCATTGGTCCTCAGAAAAACTAAGTTAAAGATTGGTGACTGTTCTAAAGCACTTGCGACAAGGTTTGAGAGAGACCTGTTGACTGTGGCAACAGCTTTATGAATTTAATATGATTTTTTTATTTTTTTATTTTTATATTCCATTGTTTCAACTCCAGAAAGAACTTGGTTTATTTTTTCCTTTCCTTTCTTCTCATTTGTCTTGTTTTTGTTTCCTTTTGTTCTTTAATGGTGGAAGGAATGGATGCAATGCGAGAGGATATTTTGTGTGGTCCTTTTTAGATTTATATGAGTTATTCGGTGGATTTGAATTTAGCTTTGGCCTGTACTATGTGGATTTGGATGACAAGGATTTGAAAAGATTCCCCAAGCTCTCTGCAAAATGGTACTCCAGTTTTTTAAAGGAAAGAAGCATGAAATCGGATGGAGCTATTGAAGTTGAGAAGAACATGTCTGCTCTTTCTCAATCTCACTTTTCTCAATAGGTTCTATTTAGTTGCATGACTTGCTTTTAAATTATATGCAAAATTGCAACTACTCTGAACCAATGTTGCCTAGACTCAAGTATACGCGTCCGATACGGGTATGTATCCATGGGCCTATTGTATTTTGCATAATAGTATGTTGGTTTTGCTTACTATTTAGTTGCATATGACTTGCTTTTAAAGTATGTGCAAAATTGCAATACTCTGAACCAATGTTACCTAGACTCAAGTATGCGCGTCGGACACGGGTATGTATCCATGCGCCTATTGTATTTTGCATAATAGTATGTTGGTTTTGCTTCCTAATTAGTTACATGACTTGCTTATATTATGTGCAATTTGTGATATTGCACATGCTCTGAACAATTGATTGTGAGATACTGCAATTTCCTTACTACATAAAATATTGTACTTTCTTTGCTATTGGAAAATATTCTTTCTTGTGTTTGATCAAAACTACAAAACATGATCGAATCACAATACTAGTCCCGCAATTCTAAATGTGTATTTTAAGTCCCTCCCGGAATTCAATCCAGAAAAGTTATATATAATCAAAGTATGGGCTATATGTGTGCACGCATAAGGAATCTACTGAACAAAATTATTGGAGATTAAACAGCATATCAGATGGGCGATTCTCGGGATTCCCATCTGCAGTGTGCTGCTACGAGGTTGGCTCGTACTTGGTGGCAACATCGGTTGATTCTGTACAATAAACTGCAGGAACTAATCAGTAAATGGTTCCATAATTTACAATCTAACACAATTGAGCTGTCTTAGACGCAACACTGATAGCATTAACACATCCAAGCATGATCAAACTCAAACTACAAACCTAACTACGAGTCTACAACCAATTTACCTGGGGAGTTGGTACTATTTGCACCAGCCGGACACCAAAATAGTGCTGATAAATTAGATTGGGATTTGATAGAGGAACAAAGGGTACAGGAAAGTTCGGCGTAGAGAATCTTGGAGTCAAATGAGCAGAAAATGGCAGCATTGGTTGATTCATGCCCAACGCCATCGGTGTCATATAATGCTGAGGGCTGAGAATCATCACAGGTCTCATGGACCAGCTTATCTGTTCCATAAGTGTTAATTCCTGAAGCATAAAGTGAGTACAATCAAGTTTTCTTCATAAATAATGCATGAGCTAAATATTGTTTTGGGTGTTCAAATGTTGCCTAGCAGTACTTTCTCACCTTCTAAAGTAAAATGTCGAGAGTTTAACTACCTCTAGTGTTTTAGTATTTTTTTCTAATATTTTTGTAGCTTTAATCCAAAGAACAAATAAAGAATATTGAAGCTGTGATGGCCCAGATTTTTCCAACCCGGTGTGTTTGATGACCCGAAAACGGATCCGAAATGCGGAAACGAAAGACAAAGCCATGGTCTATAGAGATGTACGTCATCTCTAAGATGCCAAAGTAACTTCCCACGAAGCTACGAAACTCAAAAGGAAACAAATGCGGAAACTAGGGTTCAAAACCCGACAAGAAATTAACCAAGGGCAAAATGGTCATTTCATACAGAGAGCTACCGTGCACACCATTAGATAGACAACGAAAAATAAACAAGTTTGGACTCAAGAATCACTTGATTCGGAGTCTGGACGAGGAAGATATGACCAACACAAAAACAAGTGCCAAGGCTGCCAAAAGGGAACCTGGAACGTGCATTGCGGGCGAACGCCAAGGGCTGCGGGCGCCTGCCAAGGCCAACACTACGGGCAGACGCCAAATCCTGCAGGCGCCTGCTAAAAAACAGAGTTGTTGCCAAGGAGATGAAAATGGGGGTTCGGGTGGATTTTAAAACACCTAAATTGATTATGCAACACTAAAATATGCCTACGAGGCCAACGGAAGTTTCAGAATGGTTGACATGTTTTTCAAAAAAAATTCGATGAATAGTAATATGCTCTAAAATTTCAAAAGAGGCTTAAACCAGAAAATCTGAATTTGACGTAGGATTTTTTAGACCAAGACGACATTTTTTTGGAAAAATGCTATGAAGTGACACCCCCCTAAAATCACATTTTCTAAGTGACTATGTCAAGTGAAGTTCTTATTATTCAAGTGAAGTTCTTATTATTCAAGTGAAGTACATAAAATGCCCTTAAGATCAAATTTTGCAAAAAAAACATGAAAATACTTTAACCTACAAACATTCATTTCATACAAATGTGATATTGTGTGCAAAGTGAACATACACGCAAACGTAATATGCATACTTAAGCGTGTTACAATGGCCCACGGCCTCAAAATACGCCAAACACAAAATATGACATGCCAAACCTCTAATATCCATAAAATTGCCTTTAAAAGTAAAATATATAATTAAGGCACATAAATGAAAACGAAAAGACGTTTGCCCTTGGTCACACATCATATATATATAATGAGTCTCGAATAGTATGCTTAGGCACACTCTACATATTTCAAAGCAAAAATGACATATCAAACCTAGCTATGCATTACAACTTCAAAAGTAAAACTTAAACATGCAACACTTACATATGTGCAATGTCGTGACCCATGTTTTTCAACCTGGTGCGTCAGTGATAACTCGAAAGTTAACCCAATAACGGATCCGAAATGCAGAAGCAAAAAATGAAACTATAGTCCTTTGAGATATAAACCATCTCTAAGACATCAAGATGGCATTCCATGAGGTCACGGAAGTTAAAGAGAGTAAAAGAGGAAACTAGAGTTAAAACGGGCAAAATCTGATAATGAAGGGTAAAATGGTCAATTCATAACTAAAAGAAGAAAATTGACTCTAAACAAGTCAAACAAGATGAATACAACCTAATCTAATCATTTCATAACATTCCAAGAGGTTTTAAGAACATTGGCCAAGAATCCCACAAAATGCCATTTCCCGGTTTAAGTGAAAACTGGCTCTACCTCACTAAAACATGAATATCTCTCACTGTGTTTTGAATCCGAGGATGGGATATATACCATTGGAAAACTGCCTCAAAATCTTTGAGTTTAGGCTCAAGAATCACCTTATTTGGATTATAAACGAAGAAGTTATGGCCTTTTGAAGTTGGACCATCAGTGCTGAAACCTAACTGGAAGCTTTGTGCGAGTTCAAGCTATTTTGGTCGACCGAAATAGAGTTTCGGTCGACCGAACTGGACAGAATGTTTTTTAAAAACATGATGTTAAGTGTTGGTTGGTTTGGTAGACCGAATTGAAGCATCGGTCGACCGAAATAGGCCATCGGTCGACCGAAATAGGCCATCGGTCGACCGAAATGGCCCTCAACAGTAGAAATGGCTACTGGAATTGATGAGTTACTGTACAATGAAGCTACCAAAAGCCATCGGTTGATCGAAATAGAGTTTCGGTCGACCGAAATACCTCGAAATGCTGCTATATGACCTGTTATATGCCAAAGGTGTTAAGGTTCAACCTATACTTCAATTCCCCTTATGCAATGGATCAAAAATGAAAGTTTATATATGATTTTCAATGAAATTCGAGTATGTGAACATGTCAACAAGTTTTAAATGGATAAATGAATACAAAACAATGGCCCGTGGCCTCATACATGCCCTTTACAAGATTTTCATACACCAAACCTCCAAAAATGTTTAAAGTACATTTTTATAGTAAAGGCTAGTACCAAATGTGTACAAACGCTAGAGTAAACATGCTTGGCCATTGGCCTCATTACGTACATTCTTATAATGTCAAAAGTAAGTGCTTAAGTATCATTACACATTAAGAAAGTCACATTAGCTTTTAAAATACCATACGTTCATGGTATGCAAAAATATAACTTCAAAAGTAAAGCATGCTAAACACTTGCATGTCAGTATACAAAAAAATGTTCCAAATTGCTCATAAGCCTCTAAAGATGATGAGCATCCAAGAACATAGTCTCCTTACCTGAAAAACAACCCAAACCATTAGGGTGAGCAATCAAGTTACTTGTAGAAAGAAGCATATGTGTATACCTAAAGTTTCAATATCATTGTAAGATCAATATAGACGAATACAAGGGAGCATTCCACTTAACGTCTATGTTCAAGGTGTTCTAAGGGATCATCTTAAGCTAACTTAAATATCTCTTAGTAACACATATCAATATCAATGCACTTAACAACATCAATTCGCCAAAAACAAAAAATCACAAGTTATAATTAAACATTGGTTGTCAATTTGAAATTTAATGCGAAATCAAATAGTGGAATACTTGGACATCAAATCTTGGATAAAGCCAAGACCTAAATGGTTATTTCGGGTATTAACCCGCTGGGAATACCACCTTTAGGGCGCACTATCTCTCGCACTAGAGCCAAACTCTAGCCATATCACTTGTAACAACAATGTCCCAAGATAATCCAAAATATAGCAAGTTCAAAATTCATACATAATTATTAATGTATATATATATATATATATATATATATATATATATCACCTTCCATGCATAAGTATTTTGAAACCACACAAACCATATTTTAGGGCTTCCAAGTCTAGAATGACATAATAAATGACAAGTATTCATCATGATATATTGTGTAAAATGATTTCACCAACTTATCAATTCAAACCATGCCTCAACAATAAGCCTTATATACTAGATTACAACATTATAGTATTAAGCTTTTAAAATAATTACAATTACCAATAGTAATCTACTAGAATGTAGGATTAACATCACAATAGTATAGTAATTCTAACCAATAAAAGTTCTATACAACATTAATATTCATACTCAAGATACATACACAATATACATGCTGACTTAATAAAATCCTAAGTCAATCATAAGGATTTCCTATAGTATGCAATACTACAATTCTAAAAACATGTATACAATATATATTAAATCCAAAATAATTTTAAAACACTTAAAATATAAACATACTACCACCCCTACCTCAATAGAGAATTGAATCTCTATAATCCAAGTAACCAAGCTCAAAATGGGAAACAAGTTTAGGGTTAATGAAGAGGATAGTGAGGGGAAACTTTTGTGTTCCAAGGTTTTAAGTCTAGGGTGAATGGAAGGAGGCCAAAAATGAAGTCAAAGCTATTAACCAAACTTTTCTCCAATGGTGGCTAGGTTAGAGTTTTGAGAGGAAGTAAAATAAAAAAGATCAAGATGAAAATGGTGAGTGGAGGATCTAGTATTCCTCTACTCACTATGTGCCCTTACACTATCTCTCACACACACACAATGCAAGACTAAATTATGATCCTACACTTGTCACCAATCCAAGGCTCCTTCCTAGGCTTAATCTTAAGCCTACACTTGTCAACCATCTAAGCCAACAAGTGCACCTA